TACTTTATGTATAAGGTCCTGGCACGTTTCTTCATGGCATGGCCATGAGCAACCTGTTCTAGTTGGTCCTTCTTTAAGCAAAGGATTGGACCAGAGACCATCCAGCCTCAAATATTCTGTGATTCAGTGATGTATCAGAACAGAAAATTTGAGGTCGAACAGATGCAAAGAAGTAAAGCATATGGGAGTGGAGCAAAATTAATTATTTTCTTTGATGTTAGTAATGTAAGAACCTGGAAATCTTAGGGAGTGGAAAGATAGGGAGATGAGAGGATCTCTCTGAAGCTGAAGTAACTGTGGAATAAGTCACATAGAATGCACATCAAGAAATTGTTGTAAGTGGAATTGGTATTCACTCAAAAAGTTATAAGAAAACTCAGGAATGAAAGAACTGAGTTGCTTATGGTGTTGTGCAGAGGTTGCAGGATGTCACGTACTCCAGAGGAGAAAGGTGATACAAAAGAACAAATGGTGATAAACACCCATCTCAGAGTAGGTACTACCTCCTTTACTTCTACAACCACAACTGGTTTTTTACTGCCCCACAGTATTTATTTCACCCTGAATGTTTATGAGCAAGTGAAATTCTACACCTGCACATCTGAGAGGCCTTGAGCCACTCTCATTTCAGGTAATAACAGATGGAGGTAAGTGGCCTAAAACAGGTGGGAGTTCTGCATTGAGCTCCTGATGTTCTGAGTTCCTGAGTTCTACTGCTTTGACCAGGCTTGTCATTCTTCATGCAGAAGAAATAAACCCAGGTAAAGGAATCTTCCTTGCATTAACTTTAAAAACAAAACACCCACCTCCCACAACCCAAAATATAGACCAAATCAAGTGTTTTTAACAACAAACCAAAAAGTCCTCAAAGGCTGTGAAGTTTGCACAATTTAACACTTACTGCCAATAGGAGAAAAGCATAAGCTGCAGTAACTTACTGACCACACGCTCTTTCTACTATATGAATTACCCCTAGTAAATAGCTTAAGTGAAATTAGTATTAAATTTGGTTTTGTAAACACCTGGAAAACTTTTATTTTGACAGGTGTAAATCAGGAGTAAATTCCTTGCATGATTATGTGAAGGGAGAATAAAATAGCAAGATAAGGAACTTAAGTGTTAGCCTGTTGAAAAGTTAACTTTAATAAAATAAAGTCTTACTTGATGATAAAGTTGAGAGAACAAAATAGAGTATTTAGAAAAACATTTTCCTGTGTGTTATTTGCATGTATGTTAAGCGTTTGGGTCCTTTAACAATAATGGATTTGTAGTTTTAAACTACTGTGAAGTGTGTGGTCTCTACATATCAAGTCACTGTCCTTTCAATTTGGAAGTTGTGGTGAGGGAGACAAAGTGCATAGCTTAAGTAATGGTTTTCCTGTGACTGATTCTAGTCATGTAGCTGTTCTTCAGAGGGTTTGATATATTTTCCTCCTCACTCAAAAGAAGTCATCTAAAATCTACCATGGTGGTAAAACACTGTGAGTGTATGAATCTAAACCTGTACTCTTTCCAGTGAAAACATGATTATCTCCAGCTGAAGTGAGGCTGACCAGTTATTAAAGAAACATATTTTTCTTCCCTTTGTGCTGTGACAGTTAAAAGCTTTATCTGTAAGCTATTAGCTCAAACTTGTTTTCTTATTTCTAGAGATATCATTCATCCATGTAAGCTCTATTCTTAGTGATTCATAATATAAATGGGACATAGGTAGAGACAAGTAGGGAGATAGAAAAGAGTAAGTAAAAGGGGGGGAAAAAAAGAAGAAAGAGAAATGTGTTTTAACCAAAAAGATATAAGACACCATGAGGGAGAGGGTGTAGAAAAGAAAAGCAGATAAGGGTAGAAAAGGAGAAAGTGAGCAAGTAAAACAGTCTGATGAGAATTTGTCATGACAGGTCTAGAGTCAAGACAATTTATCAGTCATATATTTGTAGAGAATCAGCAGGATTCATTCATAAAACTCTTAGTTAAATCTTATTCACTATTTTCGGGGATTTCTCAAGGCTGCAGTAAAAATATACCTTCTGGCAGCTTTTACATGTTATATGGACTAGAAAGGAGGTAGTTTTGCAGAATTTCTATGACTAAAAGATGTAAAATCATGGGATGGTGCCAAATGTGAAGATTCTTACAGTTAATAGAAAGATCCACCTTAATTTTCCAGTGGTCAGGTTTGACATTATAGTCAATATGAATAAATACTTAGAGCAGAAGGACAGTGTTATTTTTGCATCATAATTTTCCTGTCTTCAGACTCATTTCAAAGCACAGGAGTCATAGTGATTGAGAGGATTTTGACATTAGTTATCTTCTGAGTAAATGTCATAAAATGTAGTCAAAATATATTTAACACAATGATGGGCCATATAAAAATTACAAAGAGATTAGCAGAGAAACTGTCTAAGAGCTAGGTCCCACACAGCTGTTGAGCACGGCAATAAAATTAACAGAAAATTTCGCAGTGTTACATTGACCAATTATCAATAAAATAAGTCATTATCAATAAAATTGAATAGGCAAAAATGCTGATAACAATCATCATTTTGCTACCAACCTCTTTTGTTTGTTTGGGTTTTTGTTTGCTTTTTTTTTTTTTATTGCATCGGCAGAAGATATGTGCCAAAAACACATGATGGCAGTGCAGTAAGTTACCTTTTTACAAATATTTAACGAGTCATATTGCCTGGGAAGAGAAGCCAAATGAAACATTACCTAACCCTACCATGGTTTAGAGTTGGTCACAGATGTCCTAGAAAATGCTGAGATGCTTCATGGCCATAAAGCAAATGTGTAACGCTTGACAGTAGAACCAAAACTGGAAGCAGTTCAACCTGGAGGTTTTACACAAGTGATGTGAAATGCAGCTTTGCATCATTTCTAGAATGCTAGTAGAGAGGCTATTTTAATGAAGAGTAATCTTCCAAAGGGCCATTGCATTTAACTAGCCAGAAGTGAGTCCAAAAAGAGGAACTGTAAAAGCAAAACAATCAGTGGGCCTGTAAACTCATTACTTATGTATGTCAAATTACTTGGACTCCTCGGCATTTTAAGAGCTTGTGGGGTTTTATTTTTGTATGGGATAAGAGTATTATACGAGAGGCCTATTTCTGCATTCTGCTTAGGTGTTCCCTTAAAAACAGGAGTGCCACTTCCCAAACTGCAATTTCTGTCCTTAAGTGGCATTGAAAATAAAAAGCAAAACCAGAAGCAAGAGAGAGTGGAACTAGCAAACTGATGGTATTCAATCTTGTCTGCTTTTGCTGTAGGGTTGTTTATAGAATTAGAATGAAAACCCTTATGTGTACAATGTCAGAGGTGTCTCATCCATTCTCGTTGTGTCTTTCTGTGCATCCATAGAGAAAGAAAAATTTGCATTTAAGAATACTCATCACTGGTGTTATTTTACTTGAAAAGTTAATATAATTTTTGAGTGCTACCTATTAACTAGAGTTAATATAATTAGTTACTCTTTAGTCTTCTATTTTTTCTTCAAATTCTGTTTTTCTAGGTGATGTTAATGTGTAATTTATTCAGGCTGGGATAGAATCTTAGTGTCAGTGAGGTGATGACAGTTTACTCCAGAGAAAACTATGTCTTGTAGCGTGTATGTGATGTATGGATACTGCATTTTTAAGTGAAACCAGTGCTTTGTATTCCATTAAATGAATTCTGTAGAACAGAAAACCAAGAAAATGTCTTTGAAATGAATGATTCCATGTTAATGACAGTTATGTATGGATCAGTGCTACAGCAGATTACTAGTGCACATTGACAGGCACTGCTTGTTGTTTTCAGGCATGTAGGCAGAAAGTGAAAGTTCTAATGAATTCTTACAAAAATATGTAGCAATGCAGAAATTTGAATCCAAATATATAAAGTGATACTTTATAAGTGGCCTTATAAAGTGATCTTTTAAAATAATAATGACCAAGGGTTTGAAGTAAACAAAGTCAGTTTTTAAACTGAAGAATTATAAGGATTTAATGGCTTTCAAAATTACAAGGTCTATGGAATAAGCAGAATGTTATGCATTCCAATCCAAGTATCACTTACATTTTGAGTGATTAAGAGAGTATGATTCAGTGATCAATGAAGTAAAGGGAAGTTTTTAATTTTTGTCTGAGATTGAGGCTAGAATGGTTTCTGTAAAGTAATTAAGAATAATTACACTTTTTTATAATGATGCAGCAATGCTGGGCATTTTCTGGGTCTGCTCCATGGGTATGTTTACTTTTATTTTTGTATACTAACTTAAAGACATGTATACCCATAACATGCTATCTGTCTGCATGCCTGTCATAACATCAGCATATTCCAAATGTGAGCGATCTGACCAGAAGAAATTTTCAGTAGGAGGACTGAGTACTCAGATGTGGCAGTTACTGTATTTCTAAGGGTTAAGGATTATAATCTGATAAAAAAAAGATAATTAAATTGGATCCAAATTAATAGAAGAGAGGACAGAGGACTAGAAAAACAAATTTCAAAGCAGAGGTATCCATAAATGAGAAGCACTTATGCTAGCGCTTATCAGATATTTCATCTGAAATATGAATGAAAATTGAAAAAAATATTTCAGGAGAGAATTCTATTTTTCAGGATTTGCAAAAGTGAACTTCTTCCACTGGCTTGCTAGGAAAGACATGCATTTACAGATTTATTTTTTTTTTTTTTTTAGATCTATCACTATAAAACCACAACACACGGTTGAAGCATAACATAGATCCCAGAATTAGGGGAGAGACAAATTGAAGAAACAGCTGACCTGAACTGTCACCAGTGCTCCTGCATTTCTTCATGCTCAGCTGCGTTGCTAAGATAACCAATCTTGCACAGGTTGTATCCAGAATGTTTCCAAGAACCGAGTTAATTAGTGAAATATCCTAAAGTTAACTAACTCCCCTGCCAAAAAATGGGCTCTTCCATTTTCCTCACATGATTATTTCCGCACTTTCACTTTTCCATATATAGGAGCAGCTCAGGGACTGACAGCTAAAGCAAGGTAGGGATACAGACTTCAGGGTCCTACGTACTCCTTGCATATGTACACAGATGCAAGCACATGCTGAGTTCACACACTCAAATTTAAGTTAGTGTTACAGCTATTAACTGAACCCAGCAATAGTCCTGCTGTTAAATAACCTTGTACTTTAAGAGAAGGCACTACAAGTAGGAGTCTTCAACCACTGTTTATAATAAATCCATCAGGAAAAGCATCACAGTCATGAATGGGCCAGTGGATGGCATATGTGACCACACGCTGGACGATGAAGGGGCTTTCATGTTCACATCGGAGTCAGTGGGAGAAGGACATCCAGGTAAGGAACCAGCTCTGGCAAATGCACAAAAAGAATAATATTTTCAATTTAAACACTTTTAAAGCCTGAAGAAGAATTTATCTGCTATTAATCTTACTGTAGAACTTGTTTATAACGGGGCATTTTTAACTTGATGTCTATTGGACCTCACCTATATAGACTATGGAAGCACTGTAACAACTAGGGTGCTTCCAACAGGAATTTACATGCTTTGGCAAGGTGTGTGTTACACTGAGCAGAGCAGTGAGGTTTATGGTTTCTGCTCCTTTTTCATCTGAATTTCTTTCAGCATTAAAGTGGAGACACTATTCTACATCTCTGATACGCTCAAGTTTCACATATGGATAAGAATGCATAGCTTGCTTCTCAAGTTCCCTATCTTTATGGTCTCTGCGAGACTGTTCTGCATATATGCTATGCTCTAAAACTGTCACCCACAACAGGAATATCTCTAAGCAGACTGCTTTTAAAGGCTTTAAAAATCAGTGGTCCCAGCAGCTGTACATGGCTGCTGATTTTTTTTTTTTTCCACCCATTCCATAATCTGATGCAATATATGGAACTGCTTAAGTAAATAGTGGACTGTTATTTGCTAAACTTTATGTATGGTCAGCAGACCTAAGTTCGATTTTATTGAAAACAAGTGTTCATCTGCCATAAACACATACCTTATGTCAACAACAAGTCTCCCCCTAAATGAGGCCAGGAGAGTGTTTGATGTCCTGAAAAGTGTATTTAGTTTAGAAGCAAATTTGGCATCCTGTGCCTTTTCCTACGATAAGATTTTTCAGGTCTCATGTTATGTGAGTAAATGATAAATTGATGGAATGACATAACAGAGAATAGAAATGTTCGCAGTGAGAATTTTGTATTTCCAATTCTGATACACACTAGTATAACATTAATTTATTACTGCCGATCAAATTCATGGCTTATGCAATTGACTATATCTCTGTCAAAGTCAAGGCAGCTACATCAGGTTAAGCCAGTTAGGGTTCTTTCTGATGTAACACAATAAGAAATGGCAACCACTTTCTGTCCTTGGGACACAGGTCCCATCTCAATTTTTTTTTTATATATATATACGTATATAAAATCATATCCAGCATCAGTAGCGCAATGTAGTTTCACAGGAAAAATAACATGATACAATATTGTAATTTCAAATTGATGATGGTAATTCCAAAGATGACAGGACACAATTTATGCTACCTCTAGTAATTATTTTGAATCCCCCCTGGGGCAATAATAAGTAAGTCTCAAGAACAAGAAGGGTTCAGCTGAGTCCCCGGGTTTAGCTTTGTCCCTTGGTTTTCTTCTTTTACTGATCCTCTTTTTGTCTTGTTTTAGAATTTTGCCTATTCGTTTAGTTCTTTCTCATATTCCCATATTTATTTCCTAAAGCTCTACTGACTGTCTGTGTATCTTCTTTGAAGCCCCAGGAGCTATTTGGCAGGCCTTTGAGAAACAGTGTTACCACTTGTTAGCTTTGTGTACAGCCTCCCCTCTGGCAGAGGTTGCACAGTCTCTGGGTACTGTGAGATGTGAAGGGGCAACCGGAGAGGCTTATTGTGGAGGGGGTTGGAAACTGAAATTTGCTCAGACATTTTCAAGACTGTTATGCTTATAATTTCTTAAACAGCCCAGGTCTTCATGTAGGGTAATGAAAATCCAAACACCTATAATAAAGGAAAGACAGGTTGACATTAAGTAACTACAGGTGGACCTGTAACTTCTTGTTTCTGAACACAGCCCAGCAACAGGTCTTAATTTTCTCAGTGATAACTCTAGCTTCTGAAAGCAAATTGATCATCCTTACATCCTGGTTACCCTCCGGCCCCCTTTTCCCTCTCTGTTTTTCCACCACAGGTATGGACATGACATTAGGTTTTTATCACGCAGGAAAATCTTGGCTGTTTCTTAAAATGAGGCCCTGTGTCTGAGCATGTAGTTAGGCTTCTTACGTTATCAGTAGCACTAGAATCTTATTGTGAGTTTTGAGTTCATCTGTTTGGTACCAGATGGATAATTTGCATGTCCTTGATTGTTTCTCTTCCGTGTATGACAGTATAATTTTGCTAGGGGGCACTATGTGAAGTAAAGATCCTGAGCCAGATCTTTTTTATGGTGGAAATTTGAATGGTTCTGATTATATTAGCTGAGGACTAAATGCTTTAATGGAGACCTCCTTAATAAACAAAGAAGGAGAAATTACACAGTTATTTATTTGAGTGTACAGAGAACTGCTTTATACTTGTGCAATGCCTAAGATTTGTATGTCACTAAGAAGCTGAAATTCCACAGAAGCAAGTAATAGCTGGCAATAATTAACATACAATTACCAACTATGCTCCCCAAAGACTTTATAGATGACTCTGTTTATCTCATCTTCTCAGGTGAAATTCCTCAAAATTACTTCAGTATAAAATTTGGGACTTCCTTCCAGGTCTTTAATCTTTGCATTTACTGAGGTAAATTCCAAAATGTCAGAGGACTTATATATGCCTTTTTCCTTTCAGTATAATCAAGGCACATACATCCCAGCATTGGGAAGAGAAAGATTTCTTTTTTAGGTGGCTGGGTTTTTTTGTCACTGCTCCATTTTGGTTTGTCCAGTAGTGTCTGCCTGTGCTGCACAATTGTTTCACATCCTGGTTTAAAATTACTTTTTTTCTTTTCCCATAAATAACATATCTTTCAAAATATCAAATTTTATTTTGCTTTTCACAAGTTGTCAAGAAAATCCACAATACCTTTTGGAATGTTCAATGTCTGTTATATTCGCTAGACCATCAAGGCCATAAGTTTAGTGGTATCTGTTGTGCTTCAAAGGATGAAGCTTTTTTGAATTAAAATTTCAATTGTTGATGTAGTTCATAGGTTTTTGTGTGTGTTTGTAATGAATCCATGAAACCAAATTCCTGGGGAGGTAGTGAGAACTTCCAGTTGTCATGGCTTAAGTTAGGCTCTTACATACTCCAGATTCATGTAGCAAACCTGTGTCAAATATCTGGAAAACTGTGACAATCCTTCTAATTATTTGAGTTAACTTTTGATCATCAGCCCCCCTAGACTCATTCATTCCTTTTACAGTTAGCAAGCACTGTTTTATGGCTAACTTACTTCTCTGCCATAAGGCTGGGTCTGTGAGGTGATTTGACTTCACAAAGACTATTCATGGCTATCTAATATTTTCTTGCTTAGTCAAGAAATCATCAGCCTAGACATCCTTTTTGCACTATTTGTTCTACTGGAGAGTAACTAATTACATGAAGGCATGCATGAACTGAATTCTTAACTACTGCATCATATTTTTAGATTAAAATGCCACACCAGAGGTGGTCCATTATGCTTTCCCTTTCCCAAATAAAAGGAAAAACGAAAGAAAGGAAATAATGGATAAACTTATCCTGCCACATTTAGCAGCTAATAAAAGAAATTGAATGCTTGAGATGAGAAATTTAAATAACAGAATAAAAAGTACACAAAGCTTGCTAGGCATTGCTAAAAATAGAATGCCTGGGTTTATTTTACACTAGAGACCTTTACTAATAGACAGGTCTTTAATGCTTTAATCAGCCAATCATCCAGCTAGATTTCTCTTTCCAGTATAATATGACTTTGTCTGTATTTGGATCTAGTTGCACTGGAATGGCTGGTAGTTGCACCAACAATGAGATATGACAGGAATTGTCAAACTGTCTCAGCCTATTTCACTCTGAAGTTACGACTTCAGTATAGCAGATTAAATTATTCTGATTTATTATTTTAGTTGATTAAATTCTCATGTAGATTTTAAAGACCAGAAGGGACCGTCTTTTCAGACCATATACAGGTAATAATATTTTGTGTAAGAATTCTTCAAACATGCCAGTAAAGTAATGGTTGAATTTCATCCATACCTTTTAAAAATATGACCAGTTTTAATCCAGAGATTTGAAGCAACAAGGAATCCTGTATACCTGATGATGATTGTTTTCAATGGCATTCCCCTTTTAAGATTTTCCTTTTTTTCAATCTTTATCTGCTTGCCTTTAATTTTCAGCTGTTAACTGAAGTTACATTTTTGCCCATCAGAGAAAAACTTTGGGTTTTTAGTATTTTTATGTTCTTAGTGACTGTGTTCCCAATGCCTGTAAGGATTTCCTCTGGTAGATCGCCTTTGCTTCTGCCTTTCAAAAGTAGTTTGAACTCCACCATCCTGTAAGACAGACTTTTCTGATCTTGGGGCATTCTTCTCAGTCTGCCCTAGACCTTTTCTCAGCCTCTTAATGTCATCTTTGGAATACCACCACCAAAATCTAGTATATCTGTGGCAGTCTCATGATGGAGATAATTTAATTTCTGTGGATGACTGTTTATCTTGTTTTCTATCGTGATCTTTTCAGAATAACAATTTTGTAAGACAAACTCTGCCCTTCTGTAAACGTGGACTGTGCTTTTTGTTTATGAATATTTACTGTTATTTCTGTGAGAGGGAAGCAAAAGAGTTGCTTTTCTATCTACCAATATCCATGAAATACTGTAGATAATAATGATAAAGCTCATGAAAAAGAAAATCCAAAATCATCCTGTTGACTCTTCAGTTATTAATTTCACTGTCTAATATGGCTAATAATTCCTTGAGAAATTTTATGAAAGTTTTAGTTCATAAATTAATTTCAACCACATCATGCAGAAATCAACGTAATGTTCTTTGTATCAGATAGCCACCACAAGGGAAAATGAGGATGAATTAGTCATACTGCTATTGAATGTTTTTGGGAAAAAAACCTCATATAATGTATCTGTATGTGCCATACAGGGAACTTAGACAAACATAAGACACTAGCATCTAATGTTGGTGAGTCTTGCTTCACATGGAACAAGGACAAGGATGAAGGTTGTTCCTGACAGAGAAACTGTGGATGGTTAAAAAAAAAAAAGACTGCAAAGCTGCTTGAATCACTAGGACTTTGGTCATCATATTCTCTCTCTTGTTCTAACCACATAATCAACATAGTTTTCTTCAGTGATTTTTGCTTTTATGCTTGAAAATGTCGCTATATTTCTTTATAAAAATTGAAAATTCAAAGGGATCTAGCAGAGACACATTTTAA